CTCAAACTTCAATAATAGTGTGTGCACACTAGTGCTTCTCTCGAGGTCCATCGTCTCTACCAGGTGAGTCTCTTGCAATTTTTTTGATTGATTTCAATATAGAGTAAGGTTTTTTCCACAGATAATCGTCTCTTTCTTCAAGGGTTAGCTTTGAATTTCGGTTCTAGTTTCATGTCCGGTCTCTTTCCTAGATTGCTCACCACCTGCTCGACGAATTTCCTCAATAAAAACCCTAGTCTTTTCCGGCGAAACTCTCTGTAGATTTCATGTGTATATGTTATGAGCAATAATTTCTCTATTTGATTCAATCACTTAATTCTAAATTATCAAAACGGGATAATTAGAAACTCCCAATTCTGTTCAATTTTTTCTTGCTATATGTACAATGACAAAGTAATTGAATTTCTTAAGAAATCTATAAGTTCAATCACAAAATTGACCAGTTACATTGTATTTCAACAATCCAATTCTCTTCCCCATTCATCCAATTTACGTTTATTTATTACTTATCATCTGATTTTGAATGATTTTCCTTTAGAAATCTGAAGGATTCCAAGCTCCATTTCTCCGAATATGGCGGAAGTAAGTCTCGGCATGCTTATAGACATTGTGGACGAAGAGTGGATGAGGGACACTCTACCTGATGATGGTAACCATTTTTACCTCCTCCATATACACTACTATACATCGATATCATTGTATTTCCGCACTTATATTTTCATCGCTGTGTTGTCATTGCAGATCTTCCATTGCCTCCAGTGCTTGCTGTTAGGACTGATGACACCGAAGAAACCAGTATGTATCTTCTTAGTTTTGTTTTCCTTTACACGGCTATTTGATTCTTTAGCTCTCAAGTCTTTGGAACGTAGTCGCTAGCTTGAATTCACAATGGCGATGCATATCTGATGCAAGATATTAAACTACCCATATTGCGATCTCGGAATGTCTTTTAGGAAACCAAATCTAGCTCTTTGTACATGTTATATTGTGAAATTTGTTCCAGAGAAAGCTTGTGCTATTAGGACTGCAACTGCTTTCCTTGTGATCTAATACATTGCTCTTTGAACAATCCCTCGCATTGCTCTTTGTACGAATAATCACTCGTATTGCGATTGTTTCAGATCAGGAAACTCAGCAAACAGATGGAGAAGCTTGGCATGATCTTGCACTGGACACACAATAAAAGCCTCTCTAAGTTGTGTATGATCAAAATCAAAAACTTGTAGACTTTCTATGAAGACATCATCACTGCTTCACTTCTATTTGCAAAACCTTCTTGCTTTTTTTTTTCTTTTGTTGGAATAAAATTTGCTTGTTAATCATGACGTGTCTCATACTGATTCGTCCACGTGGTTGGTGAGTGGTTCACATTTAAAATTTCTCGAATAAACAACGAAGAGAAAAAAAAAAAGCTACTCAGGCGAAGGAATATGGTGAGGTTATCACTGAGTAACCATGTTCCTCCATTAACACTCTTGAACCATGAACGAGGATTCTTCAAGCTCACATGTCATCGATCTTTCCTTCAATTCCACCCAATCTTCCCCACGAAGATCCTTCTCGG